AGATCAATTTTGGTATAAAAGAGAAATTACACTCGGAGAGAATTTTGCAAATGCTAGGTGAGTTTTGATTTATGAAATAAAATATTTTTTAATTAAAAAAATAGTCTTTTCAAAAAAAAAATTTTGTTAAGAAAGAAAAGGAAAAATCGACTTTGGTGCAAAACAAATGAAATCATTTTCCAATGACAAGGGTAAGTGCATGTGATATTATGGAAAAAAAATGTGAAAAAAGAAAATGTTTCTTTCTGTAATAAGAAGTTATGTTCCAATGAGAAACATTCAAAGAGTAGCAAGAACATGATGGTTTGTTCTCATGAATTTGCCATGAGATATAGAATGGGCATTAATCATATGTATGTTGCATGATGGGGTTTGAAAAAATGAATAAAAGAGAAAATGAAAGAAGAATTGTTAGAAAAATGGAATGGAATGGAAAGGAAAATCTCTTAGAAAAAAGATGAAGAATTATTTGAATGAGAAAACATGAATAATCAAATAATTTGGATTTGAAAAGAAAAGAATTTTGTAAACAAAAAGAAGGATTTTTTTAAACATCTGCATCCATTGTAAAAAATTTTGCATTTGCAAGGGGCATAACTTTTTCATTATTAGTAGGAATATTTATGTTCGCATCATTAAGAAGACATTTATACCCTTTTCAATTCATGTATTTGCATCATCTAGTGAGTATGTGCATAAAATTTAATGGTTAGATTTATGTCTTCATTGAATGTATTTGCATTTGTATCTCGATAGGATCTTTTGTATTTGCATAAGCATTTACAGATTTTCATTTAAAGATTTTTTATTGATCATTGTGGTTGTTGATTTGCAAGCTTTGGAAAAAATGAAAAAGAAAATATCTCTTTGAAAGTTTACAATGTTTGTGAAAAAGAAATTTTTGAAAAATATGATTGTAAAGAAAAAATGAAAATGAAAATGAGATTGCGAATTAGATGATTGAAGGATTTGAAAAAAAATTTCTTGAAATAAAAAATGATGAGATAAAGATTAAAAAGTGGAAAGAGTTTCAAACTTGAAAGGGAACCATTCTGAAAAATGCCTTTGGCCTTTACGATGAGATGATCTGTAAACAAAAATGATGAGAATTTAAAGTTATGGAGCCTTTATCTAGAGGAGTATAGATGTTAAAATTTTTAAGACCTCTCTAAGCTAATAATAGTGTGATATGATAGATATCAGTCAAATGTAACAAATAATGCATAGTGTAACTGGTAGATGGACTTTCTTTGTAGCAATTTAGCATCAACAATCAGTAAGTCAATATGTATCTTTGTTGCCGAGGAATTATAAAGGTTTGTTTCCCTGATAGCACAATGCATAATTAATTTTAAACAATTATAAAAAAAAAAACATTTTAACAATGGAATTTAAGTAGTTTTAGTGAAGCTCACTTTAAAATTTCTTGACTGCCATTTAAGCTAGCACAATAAAACTATTCATATGACCTTGAAAAAAAATTTACTTCAAAATGTTTGCATTTTCAACCCATAACATAACATCAATTGTGTCACCACTTGCAAAAAGAATTAATAAAAAAAATGTAAATCAAAGAAAATATGTTTACATTGAGAGAATAAAATTAATAGATCTCACATTATTGTTCCATTTAAAGCAAAAAAGGGCTTCTTATCTATCCATAACATCTTGTTATTTTTCATTGTGACCTTCCATTAACTTCATCAATACATATAAGGAAATTCCAATGACATCTTAACTAAAAGGTTTATTTGTAAAGCAAGATTTAATAATCAAGAACAAATGTGAATATGTATTTAAAGAAAATTGCAATAGTTTTCAGCAAAACAAAATTAGATGCATAAACTTGTTAATATCAAATTTTACAATAAGGGAAAAGCGCTGGAATCAAGTAGTACATTAGGTAGTGGTGATGATATGTGAGGAAAGCTAAAACCCTTTTGTTGTACAAACAAAATGAATCATCAATAATTATAGAATTAAAAATGTTTTTCCTTAGGCCAATAAAGACATGACTGTTCATATAGAATGCGCTTTTTTGAATTTTGATCTAAAAATGCTTGCATCACATTTTTAATCGAAGTTTGTGTTGCATTTTCCTACAATCACAAAACAAAATATAATCACAATGATCACAAAATTTTTACAAAGTAAAAAATTAAAAATATAAAATCAATGATAATGTGGGAACTTTTTCATCAACAACCAACAAATCAAAACTAAAGAATTTCCTTTCAACAGTAGCAAGGATTTCAGCACTAGCTAAGAAGAATATTAGATCGGCATTAAATGATTTTGATTGTATATTGCTTGGTTGTCTTGTTAACCTTTCCAAGTTTTTTGGATAAAAAACTAGAGTAAAAAGAATTAATATGTCATAGAGATATTTGTATATTATTTGGTATTAGTATATATGGATGCTTATTTGGTTTATGTAATAATTTTTGGGACAAATATTATTTATTTATGTTTTATTTGGCGTAAGAATTACAAATAAATAAATATATATATCCATTAACAAATTAAATAAAAATACATAAATAAGTATTTTTTGTTAGGGTCTTAAATCTTTTTAGTAAATGATATAAAGTGTCATAATGAAGGTCACAATTCTCAATAAAGATAATTTTAAATGAAGATCAATACAAACCTTCACTAAAAATAAAAACTTTAAGTAAAGGTCAATAAAAAACTTTCACTAAATGCAAAAAATATAATGAGAGTCAAATTTGACTTTCACTATAAGTTTTATATTTAGCAAGGATCAAAACTAACCTTCACTAATTATTTACATTTAGTGAAGGTCTTTTAACCTTCACTAAATGATAGATATAATGAGGATCACATTTTATTTATCATCATATATAATTAAAGAGAGGGAGAATTTATAGCAAAAGCTTGTAAAAGTCACATTGACTATTGCTAAAGGAATGATTGAGGATTATATAGAGTTTTAGTGAGAGTTGTAAGTTTCACTAAAAGACTCTGTTCTTTTAACAACAACTATGAAACATCATTGCAAATATAATGATATTTTGTAATGATATTTTCAATTGTTGAAAATTTAATAATATTTCAAAATGATTTTTTTTCATCATTATGAATATGGTAAGGATATTGTAATAGATTTTTTCGTTGTTATATAAAATATTTAAAATATTAATTAGACAACGATAATTAAAAGTCATTGCAAATATAATAGAATTTTATAACAACCTTTTTTATCATTACTAATTTAATATGAATTCATAATAACAAAAATTATGGTTGTGTAAAATATAAAAAATTCTAATAAACAACGACTATTAAAAATCATTGCAAATATAAAGAGATTTTACAATAATATTTTCAATCATTGCAAGTTATGGTTGCTAAAACCTCAGTTTCTAGTTGTGAAATTCATTGCTGGTTAAGCAATTCGGAGCGCCTATGCTTGGCTTCATTGTCACCCAAATGCAATGAAACACAAAGATCTTCATCACAGCCATTCCTTAATGAAGCAATATTTTCAGAAACAACAGTTTCTCTGACAGGTTTTTTATGCAATGAGACTTGGAAGTTGAAACAAACTGATGCTCTACGCTAGGACCAGCTAGCTAGCATTGATACCATATATCTTCCAATAACGAAACTCAGTTTCTGTTGCTGATGATGGATTGATTCCAATCTACTTCTAAAGGGATATGTTGAATCTGAAAACCCAATGGCTCAAATTTGTTTCACTTAGAAGAACTCACCCGAGGTTGAAGAGTCTGAGTCCCCAGCATGGTGGCAATAAGCTGCTGCTGAGGCAGCTTCTTTGTTCTGATGAAACTAGCCACTATAAATAGAAGGAAACTGAAGGTAACCATTAATATGAACAAATTTTGAGTCGTCATAGCCAAGTTTGTATGACTGCATTGCCCATCCACCCCCCAATGAATATATATGCCTTTTAACATTTACGTCATTCAATTGTATTTGACAATGCTTGGATGATTCCCTTTGCCGTATATAGCCCTAAAGACCATAATTGTCTTCAGCTGCTTGCCCGCTAGGTCAAGCAAGCCTTAAGAAGACATAAGGCTGGGGTTCGACCCCAGCTTCCCCCCCTCCCCTCATGTTGTAGGGCTTTGTCCCCCTTGAAACCAAAAAAAAAAAGACCATAATTACTATAATTTTTCTTTATTATCATATGGGTCCTCTCTCTCTGTCTATCTTGCCAAATGAAACTAGAAAACTATATAGAGGAGAAATTAAAAAGGAAATACAACACCAAACACTTAAAGCCCCGATTACTCATACTTTATATATGTACTTGACTTGATGTACATGGCTTCCGAGATGCTTTTATTTGCATGGGATTTGCCAACAATTTCGCCCGATACTAATCTGGTATATTTATGTAAGCCACCACATCTTTAATCCATGAAGCCTCAGTTGAGAACTTGTTTTCGTTCACGCTGTGCTTTGGCTGGTAAATTAATACACATGAAAGGATCCCTCTCAACTTCATCTTTTCTCTTTCTTTTTTGCTTTTTTTTTGTGCTTAAGTGGACGTACGTAGTTTGTGTTTAGTGTTCCAACCCACTAATCCCCCAGATTTCAAAGCCAATCTAAAGAAAACGGCAGGATATGAACCAACAGATTATAGGACTAATAATTAGCAAATTTTATCTTTTTTAGAAAAGGGGTAACAATCATATATTAAATTAAACCTTGGTTTTTGGTATTATAACAATGAATTGGTTACATGGTAAGTAATTTATGCTATAATAAAAATTAATTAATTAAAGAAAGTATACAGCAGTAAAAACTATAGCCAACTTTTAATGACATCTAAAAAATAACCATGCTTCAGCCTCTATTTGTTATGCTCAAGATTAATAAGAATTTGAACCTAAAAAACAAAAAAAATTAACAAAACTGCATGACTTTATACTAATAATAAGTACTTGGTAAGTCAAAATAATTAGCAACAAAAAATTAATAAGCGGTCATAAGCAGATTATCATATCAAAACTCTGAATCATCATAAGGAGTTAAGCATGTTACACGAATATTACTTGATCGTGTTTTCCTTTATCTTATAAAACAAGATCAAAATATTAAAAAAAAAAAGAAGCATATATATATATATATATATATATATATATATATTAGCTGCTGATTCAAAACACATAAAGGTCAGCCAATTCTTCCAAGGAATCCAAAATGAGATTTGGATCTGAATTCTCAAGCATCCATAAAAGATGGTCAAACACAACTACCTCACATTTCACCAATATGTCTTCCCCTCCATGCTTCTGTTTCGACCTCTCGATCAACGCATTCAACAAAGGATGGTTAAGGTACTTGGAACTAACCACATAACGTTTCCTGGTACTCCCAACATAAATTGTTTCCCAATGTTGATTATCTTCTCTCATTTTATCCCATAGTTGATGATCTTCCCTAACCGATTTCGACCTTAGGCTGCTATATGAAGATGATCGTCCTAGTTGTCTCGAAAAGCTTTTGCATTTCCTAAGTATGAGATTGATCTTCTTCATTGGATCTTTTGTTTGTTTTTGTTTTTTTTTTTTTTTTGAAGAAAAATTAAGTTTAGGGATAAGAGAGATGATGAAGCGAATTGGAAGCAAAAGGAGACTTGATTTCCACTCAGGAAGAAAAGAATAGGGTACTTTTAAGGGCTGGGGGGAGGATGGATTGGTGGGTGCAAAGTCATTGTATTTCGGCCGGTGCTACAAAAAATGTGGGTCCAACTTTAGCAACCAAACATTTTAAATTTAGTGATACGAAGGAGTCATCTTTTCAATGAATTGGAGGTAATGGAAGGCAGCTTTTACACTCACAAAAAGACACTATACTCAATTAGCTTTCTGCTCACAAATTTTGTGTACGGGTAATTATTAAATATCATGGATTTTTTTTTTGTAGCTGGAAAATTAATGGAAGAAAATATGAAAATATTGAATTTTGTCAAATATTTTAATATTTCATTAAATTTTGCTATTATACTTTTAATTTAATTGATTTTTAAATAAAAAGTAATAATTTGAAATTTTCATTAATGCAAGTGGATGACACTATTCAATTTCCCCATTATATATATATATATATAATATTCTATATATTAATTTTATGAAATTTGACTTTGCTTCGGAATAGCATCATGACAATTCATCTATTTTTTATTTAATTTTTTCTTTTTATATCTAACAAATATTTTCTTTATATTTAATAATCTTTTGTGTGGGACTCATTTGATATTATTGATGAAAAAGTATTTTTACTTTTCTTATCTTTTCTTTTTTAATTAGATAATTTTGTAAAAAATTATATTAATAGAGGTATCAAAATAGCATATGAATTTGGCTTTTTCAACCTTTTTTTAGTTTTTATTTTCTTTGTTTTTAATCTATAATATAAATTTTGCAAAAAAAAAAAAAACTCATAATTTCAATGTGTAAGAACTCCAATTTCTTTTTTTTTTTTGCTGCTTTTTGACTTTTTTTAGTTTTTTAATTAGATAAATTTTGTGGAAAAAAGAAAGCCAACAGAGGTGTTTATTTGGCATCCTATTTTTTTTATTTTTAATTAAATAATTTTTTAAAAAATTAATTGGTAAATCTATTTTATAAAAAAAATAAAAAGATATATAACAAAACAATCCATATCTAATAGATTTTGATTCATTCAACAATCTAATATGTGCATTTTTAAATGGGTTTGAATCAAAATTTTTTGGAAATTGGGGTTGGATTAGAATCTTATATATAAATTTTACACATTGTAACTTTTATTTGACCATAATTCAAGGTGTTTATGTGGCACCTTATGTTTTCTTCTTTTTTTTTTTAGCTTTTTTGTTTTTCTTTTGTTCTTTTACTTTTTTTCTCAACTTGTTTCGGTTTTTTAAAATTTTTTAAATTAGATAAAATTTGTGAAAAATAGCAATAAAGATATCCACGTTGTACCCTAATTTATTTTTTTCCTTTCATATTTTTAAAATTTTTTTAATTAGATAAATTTTATAACAAATAAATTGATAAATAAAGATAACAAAATAATTCGTATCTAATGACTTTCAATATGACATAATCTTGTATGGTGTGAATTTTAAAAAATCGGATCGAGTTAAGATAAAGTAGGTTTTGATAAGAGAAATAAAGTCAAGTTTATGGCAGGTTGATTGTGTTTTATCCTAACTCAACTCAAGATATATATATAAAAACTATATGTTTTATACTATTGCACATTTTGGCCTTCATATGTTGTCTCCTTTAATTCATTTTTTTTTCATTTTTCCATTCTCTTTTTATATATTTTTTCTCTTTTTATCTTTTTTTCTTCTCACCATATTTAACAAATATTTTTTTTAGATTTAGGGTGGGACTCATTTGGTATTATTAATTAAAATTTTTTTATTATTATTAGATAATTTTATGAAAAAAAAAAAACCAAATGAAGTATTCACATGGCACTCGGATTTGTTTCTTTTTTGTCATTTTCTTTTTACTTTTGATTTCTTTTTTGCCATTTTCTTTTTCTTTTTACTCTTTTATTTTTTAAAATTAGAAAACTTTTGTAACAAAAAGGAGACAGATTAAGTGTTTACTTAGGAACTTATTTGGATTTTTTTTCTTTTTGCTTGAATTCTTTCTCTTTATTTTTTTTTTTATCTTTTTTTGTTTTAGATTCTTTAATTTTTTATTTTTAATATAAATCTTACACATCCATCCATATAATAAATCCATATATATTATAAATTTTACACATTTTAATCAACCTTTGACCTCCTCCTATCATATCCACGTGTCAACTTCTTCAACATTTCTTTCTTTTTTTCCTTTTACTTTTTTTAGAAAATTTAATTATTTTTTTCTTAAAGACAAAGAGTGACGTAAGAAGATTCTTCTTCTAGAAAAATTACAAAATAGGATGTTGAAATAAAATCATTTATTAATTAAAAGTATGACAAAGAATAATTAATAAAAAATATTAATATTTTAAATTAATTAAAAATTCCAATTATTTTTTACCCTAATATTTAATTGAATATAAAATTATAATATGTACAAACAAAATATGTTGTATGCATACTTAATGAAAAAAAAATATTATATGTATATCAATAACCTTAAGAAATTAAGATAAATATGTATATTTAAAAGTTATGTTTGGATAGTTCATTTATTTTAACAAATTTTCTGTTATCCTTACATTAAATGTTGTAAGATTTTGGGAGTAATGGGATGTTTATGTGGCACCTGCATTAACATTTTTTTTTAATTTAGCCATTTTCCTTTTTATTTTTTTCAATCAAATAATTTTATGAGAAAATAATGTCAATAGAAGTATCTATGTAGTACCCTTTTTTTCATATCTTTTTGTTTTTATTTTTTGTGTCTTTTAATTTTATAAAATTTATATCAAATGAATTAGTTAATAGGGATGGAAATATAATCAATATCTGATGAGTTTCAATTTATTCCAATTTGATATGAGTATTTTTGTAAAAATCTATACCGAATCAAGTGGGGTTGAGTTAAAACTAAATTTAAGTTGCTCTAACAACCCTGTGATATATATAAAGTATATATTTTATTTTAATTTTTATTTTAATTTAATTATATATATATATTTTATTAAATAAATTATTATTTGATAATTTAAAAGATTAACATTTTATGTTCAACTGGGATGTTCATGTGGCACTCCTATGAGCTCACTTTTTGGTTTTCTTTTTTTGTTGTTTTTCATTTTTAATTTTATTTATTAATAAAATTATTATTTGATACCTTAATTTAACGTATTAACATTTTAAAACTCAATTGTGATATTCACATGGTACCAATGAGCTTTTTTTTTTCCTTTTTATTTATTTTTTGGAATTTTTGTTTTAATTAATTTAATTTTGTCAAAAAAAAAGTTGATGGAGTTGTCCACGTGGCATCCAAATGCCTTTTTTCCTTTTCTTTTATTGTATTTTTAATTAAAAAATTTTTACAACTAAATATGCCTATTGATATGGATGACAAAACAATCTATATTTGATGGATTTCAATTTATCTCAATCTAATAAGAAGTAATTTTTTTTTTAAATAATGATTGAATTGGAATAGGTTAAATTTTAAAAAAAAAACGAGATGAGACGGAAACGTGTTTAAGGTGTTTTACCTTACTCATTTTGGGGTATATATAAAAGTATATTTTATTATTATTTAATTTAATATTTATATTTATGTATTATATTAGTAAAATTATTATTTGATACTTTAATTTAATAAATTAATATTTTAAGTTCAACGGGATGTCTATATGGCACCCTTTATTAAATTTTTTTCTTTTTTTTCCCTTTTTAGTTTTTTAATTTTTTGATTTTTGTGTTTTTTATTTTGATTTTGATTTTTTTATTAGATACATTTTGTGAGAAAATGAGGTCATTAGAAATGCCCATATGTCATCTCATTTTTGTTTGTTTTTACTTTTCACTTTTTTATTTTTTTAATTAAGTAAATTTTATAACAAAAAAATTAATAAATAAATATAATAAAATAAAAAATTTTTAACTTGCGACAACACACGGCTATCCATCTAATATATATAAAAGAAAACTTTGGACAAATATGTAAGCAAGAGAGGGGGGATTGGAGTTGTCCCACACGATGGAAGGGCTTGGCTAACTGCCTTGTCCTATTGGTTGAGCGACAAAATGGACATCTTTGTCAGCACTCAGCTAATTAAATTGCTGAGCCTTTCTTACATGCCTCCCTTATTAACCCAATTTCAATTGATCAATTTGCCTTTTCATATATAGCAACAACTCGTGCATTGAACTGCAAAAAGAAAGGGGAAAATTAAGGGTTTTTTTATTTTGACTTCTTAATTTTCACCAACCAAATGATAACAATAAATAATGAAAATAATAAATAATAAATAAAATACTTTTGGACCTTTAAATTTGGGCTTAAAATTCAATTTCATAATTAAAACTTAATTAATCCAAAAATAATTTTAGAATTCAACGTCGAGATAAAATTCAAAATTCATTTAATATTAAAATTTTTTTAAATAAAATAAGGTGTCTACAATTGCTTTTATTATTGATTGTGTATCTAAGTTTATTGAGTTTGTTGATTATGGTTTTTTTATCTAACTTCTATGCTTATGTCATTTTTTAAAGATTTTTATTTTTTATATTTCAAATATATTGAAAATAAAAATTAACAAAAAATGAAAAAAAGTCTAAATCTAAATAAATAAATAAAAGAAAAATAAAGAAAAAAATATAATTTAGTTTATGTTGACCTTATAATATAATTTGAGATTAACCTAATTTATTAAATTAAGTTTAATTAATAATTCAAATACCAAAAAAATTTATCCAAATAGGAAAAAAAGGTTATGGTCGAATTGATAATTTATGTTTTTTATATGTTATTTTAAGTCAAATTTTAAATTCGATAATTAATTGATGTATAAAAATCAAATTTGAATACACATTAAGATAGAAGAACTAATTCCATCATTTAACTTTAGTGCAGAGATGAGCTGCATAATTTGAAAAAAGTTTATATAGAATAATGATGACATGTTAAAAAATTTTGCCATATCATCATCTTTGATCGTGAGAATAAAATTATTCTCTAACAGTGAATAAAGAAT